CAAGAGCAGGCACGTTATATCTCTGGAGGGTGGGATTGCTCCAAGCGTTTCTATTCCTGTGCCCCCTGCTTGGCTGGCATTTCTCCTGTTGTCAGCAACAGCTGGGGTGACGCCACTAGCTATTTATTTAAAAGGATGGAAATACAAGATGCCCCTGATTCCCAGGCCAGAGGCTGTCAGGGCTGGGGTAGTGGGTGATACCCACAGAATATGCAGTATAAAGCATCTTCGTATGGGACACATGGGCACCTGGGTGGGGATTAATTGCAGACAGTTCCATGTATCTGATCAAAGAAACATTCAATTGCACCTTACATTCTCATTTTTAAGAAATTTGTCAAGCCATGGAAGAAAATTTAGAGGAGCAATCTTAGCAATCAGTCAACTGATCAGCATGAACAAAAGTTTGCATCAAAATTAGCTGTATGTGTGTTTCTGAAATCCTGTAAGTAGTATAATCCTGTACAACTGAAAACTGATAGTTTTGGTGGGGGTGTAGTCCTTGATGGGTCCTTGATTGGAGTATAGTTTTCCACCTGACTGTTTGTCTGTTGCTGATTCCTGCTTATCTGAATGTGGGCCGCTGGAGAGAATGCACTCTAATATGTTTCCTTCCAGGTTTTTTTTAATTGTCACTTTTAGATTTTTTTTTAATTGTCTCTTTTGAACAACTAACCACACACTCCCTTGCACTAATGAAGTTGCCTGCTTGGTAATGAAATGTCTACAAGCAAACAACCAAGCTCAGGGACCACGAAGAATTTCAAAGTTCAACCCTGAGCTACAGGTATTCTCTTCTGTTGGGACAATGATATACTGTCATCAAGTTTTATAATCCAGAATACCTAACAGATGTTAAGTGGCCTGACCTTGCATTTAAATAACACATATTTTCATGGAGACATTTCAGAAACTTTGGCAATACCATAAAAATAAAAAGTGTGGAATAATTCTGAAGAATATTTTACCATAAATGGGGAGGCACAGAACATTGAATACAATACTATTGTACAATGATTATTAAAAATACCCAGAAGCAGATTGGGGTTTTTAGGAGTTTGAGCTTAAAGAAAATAATTATAAGAGAACATCTTTCATTCACGAGCAGTGCTGGGCCATAAAACTAAGGCTTCCTGTGAAAAAAATTGTCCTTGTAACTAGAATGATATTATATTGGTCTAAATGTGTATGTTCTGCTGCTTTGCCTTTGTCATGAGCCTGGAAGGAATACTTGCTTGATTATTTTACTTATAGGTAGTAATCAGCATATGACCACTTATTTTAGACTGTATGAAGTTACAATGGCCGTGAAATAGCCCTTTACGGCCCTTAAAAACACCACCAGCAATCACATGACCATATGTTAGGCAGGTCAGCTTTACCACCTGCCACGATATTCCATAGTCATGTGATTGTGATTCGAAATGTTTTTTTTTTTTGCCAGTTTCTGGCTTTTTTGTAAAATTCTGGCCCAAAACATCCAATTCTGGCCAAAAATCTTGCCAAGAAAACTGAAGGATTCGTCCAGGCAGACACCAAGACTACTGACTCGAAGGCACAAAAAGAAAAATGTTGATGTTAGTGATAATAATTTATTACACCTGTATGCTGCCCAACTGTCAATGACTCTAGATGGCTCATAACAATCAAAGAAATTACAATAAAATCAATAAAGCATAATAATAGAAAAGTTAAGGGTCCCAGTCTCTCTCACTAAAGGCCTGGGTGAAGAGCCAGCTCTGCACAGCTCTTCTAAACAACAGCAGAGCAGGTACCATCTGGATCTCAATGAAGACAATCCAGATGTTCATGCAGAAACTCTGCTCTTGAAGGTATCATATTTCTTATCTGCATAGGTTGGCCAACCCAACAGGAAAGTCAGACTTCCCAGGTAAACCAGATAGGAAACACGATTAGATGAGCTAAATCTACTTTATTATAAGACTACATTAACAGACTCTTGCAAGTGTGAAAGTACAAACTCCATTTAACTGTTAGCTCCATTAGGAAAGGTCCTTCCTTAGTTTCTTTCTTTGGCCACTTAATGATTGCGGGCTCCTTCGCCTCTTGTCTGATTGTTTCCTAAGTAGTACCTCTTTCTCCCTTTTCCTCAAGGTCAGGGGTATCAAACTCAATTTCATTGAGGGCCGCATCAGCATTGCGGTTGCCCTCAGGGGGCCGCGTGGGTGTGGCCAGGGTGGGTGCGGCCTACTGGTGGGCATGGATGGAGTGGATGTGGCCTACTGCGTGGATGTGGCCAGCTCTATATTGTTTGCGTCAAGGGGGCCTGTGGGGGCCTGGGCAGGAGTGGGATAGATCTGAGGGTCTCTGGCAGAAGGGGATGGGACCAAGGCAAGTATCAAGGCATGGTCCACTGGAGGAGCCTCACTGTTCCTCTCAGGCCATGAGGGGGGGGGGCTTATGGAGCTAAGACTGAATGCGTTTCAGCATAGATGGCCACTACAAGATTGTACATTGGCTCCCGGCTGGCCTGGGCCAGGGCCAAGGCAGAGGGGGCCGTTCCCTCACTGTTTCTAAGGATGGCTTCGCGGGCCACATGAAACCACTTTGGGGGCTGCATCTGGCCCCCGGGTCTTGTGTTTGACATGTCTGCTCAAGGTCATCCATGCTTTCCATTACAGCTAGTAAAGGGGGCTTAGAAAGTCATTCTGAATATATATTTTTTTTAAATCTTCATATCTGAAGGATATCCTTGAGAACCAAGGCAGGCTCCTATTTTGCTTGAGGCACACCAGGAGACAACTGTCAAATTAAACTTTAAACCAGTATTTTTCAACTGTGGCCATTTTAAGATGTGTAGACTTCAAATCCCAGCATTCCCCAGTCTAAAGCAATTATTAGAGGTGAAATCTTTGAAAATAAAAGATGGTGGGCCATTTCCCTTTTCCAGCCTCCCCTCTCCCCACCACATTCAAAAGTCTCTTATGGGCAATCCATAAATACACGGATTGCCCATTTTTTTCTCCACCTCCATTTTCATTAAATGCAAAATCAAATACCTTGGCTCAACTCATGGTGGAAGAGGGTCCTAATGCATGGAATAAAGAGTGGTGCATTTATACCATCAATATATTCAAATTTAAAGCCAGCCTGTGTTTTAAGTAGGCAGCTGACTGAAAGAAGTGAACTACTATTTTCTTAGTACTTTTTGCTCTGTGCCATATTACAAGTAATCAGCCAGGGAAGGACATGTGCAATCTTGATTCCTGGATTGTCTATGAGATGTCATTTTGTCCTTTTAACTGAAACATAAACATGCATAAATCCATAATTATGTATGGCTTATGTATATGTATGTGCATGGTGGGGGATGAGTGGGTTGGGATATCTTTGGATCAAGAACATAACCATCACTACTATCAAGGGTCCCCAGACCTGGATGCAAGTGCAAATTTTCAATTCTTAACTTTGCAAGGCTGCTAGAATCAAACCTGGCCAAAATTTTTCTCACATTTATCAGGATGCAATTCAATAAGAATCTTTTTTGCAAACCAGCATTTTTCAACCGTGGCCATTTTAAGATGTGTGGACTTCAATTCCCAGCATTCTCCAGCCTAAAGCAATTATTAGAGGTGAAATCTTTGAAAATGAAAGATGGGGGGGGGGGTCTTTTCCCTTTCCCAGCCTTTCTTGCAAATTAGCTGAAGTCATATTAAAAACTTAACTGCACTTTACTGGCATTTGATTTCCTATTATAGTTATTTATTAAATGAAAGCAGTTTAAATCCATCATTTCTTCTTCCCATCTTTTCCATGTTTTAATGGATTATTTTTCATGCACTTCATGGTTTTGGAGAAGCTCAGTGATTATTGTTGGTTGACATAACTGACATCTCTGACCTAAAAGGCCTGATTCTTGGCTTCTCTTTAACAACCACTGATTTTGCTGCAGTGTTCCTACAGCAACACTACAACACAGGCAATTATATTGGAATTCTGTTGGGAAGAAAACTCTGATCTTAATCTTGTCATCCATGGAATGGTTAAATTATATGAAGATAATCTCCACACTTACTAGAATACTTCTAAATATGCTACAAGGTAAAAGTTGGCTCTAATTAAGTTTGGGGGATGGAAATTTTAAATAATTAAGAAGCTGCTTTAATTCAAATGAAACCATTGACCTTTCTAGATCTTTTTTTTTTTAAATCCAGACTAGAATTGCAACTTTGCAGAATTTGGGGGGGAACTTTATCCAGCCCTACCTGGAGATGCCACAAATTGGTCCTCTGACCTTTTGCCACTGAGCTTTGCAGGGCATTTCCCAAGTGTAATAAAATATAAAGTATATTTATAACATAAATTTTGCAACATAAAAGCAGCAGGCAACAACCAAGAAAACAGCAGGCAAAAGAACTAATAAAGGGGTCCAACTTACACTGTTTCTCTTTTATCTCGCATAGGTATAAGGGTTAAGCCAGTGTTTCTCAACTCTGTCAACTTTAAGATGTGTGGACTTCAACCCCCAGAATTCCCCAGCCAGCTTTGTTGGGAGATGAAATCCACATATCTTAAAGTTGCCAAGGTTTAAATTGGTTTAAATCAACCAGCCACCAATAGCTGAATTTACAATGGTGCTGGTTGGGAATTCTGGGAAGTGAATCACTAATCTATCTGGAGAATATATACTTTGCAGCATTATTGTAATGATATCATTTGCTCTTCCTGCAGACACTCACTATATCAAGTCGGAAGCTGGGCTAAATTGTTTTCTCACAGAGCAGGAGATGGCTGGGGAAGGGGAAAAGTAAAACTAAAGCTTAAATACTAGGACATTGGGCCCCAAATCCTCAGAATGTAAACAACAAAGACAAGCAACAAAAGCATAGTTTCATTATCTGGTGACATGAAGATGCAAAGAATGAAAAATGGCCTGGGAGTTCCATTAGGGAAGGGATTGGGATAGCTGGGTTTCCAACCCAAAAGTACAAAATGCTTCCTGTCTTTTGAAATGACACACCAATGCTGGTCCTACCTACCAGAGCGAAATCTTCTTCGAATGAGCATGGACTGTTCAGATGCCAGAAGTGTCATCTTTAGCTGCTTTTGGAGCTACAGATCCCAAACGTGAAGTAGGCCCCACTGATATTTAGCAACACTGGCAGGAAAAAAAAAAGGTGAGAAGGTAGTAGTAGTAGTGTGGTAAAGGAGAAGGAGGAAGAAATAGAAGAAGAAGGAAAAGGAGAAGGAGAGGAGGAGGAGGAGGAGGAGGAGGAGGAGGAGGAGGAGGAGGAGAAATAATAGTGGCGACAGAAGGTAAAGGAAGAGGAGGAGGAGAATCATCTAAAAGGAAAATGAACGATGGGTTCTTAATCTCAGAAATTTCAATAGGATCTTTTTTAGCAGAGGTCACCTACCTTTAGAGTTTTTATTGTTGGGCAGATTATTTGGATTTAGAATGGGTGATGAGCATTTAAATCTCCACAAAGCTGGAAGTCCAAGAGAGACTCTGAATTTGTAAAATTTTTATGATGATTATTGGTCTTCTATTCTCAATTGCCCTTGAAATGTTGAACTGAGACCTGCTGTAGAAATATTTTCAGTTGGTTGCCTACCTCAGGGGATTGTTGTGCAGATCCAACAAGGAAAGGAGAAAGAATCACAAATGCCCCATTCCAAATGCAACGATAAAGAAGCAAAGGTTGCTGTAAGGATAAGGCTTTGGGGGCAAGGACAAAACCACAACTGAACAACTGCGCAACTGGCAGAAAAGCAGCAGGTGGAGCATGGCAATGGGCTCAAGGACCTGCCCCCCCTCCCCCATGGAAGAGGCTACATCAAAAGAATGATACAAGATTTGCCCCAATCAGATAAATCAACACTTTTCACTCAAAAAGTATCCCCACTTTTTTTTTCTTTTTTCTTTTTGTAGTTTTGGGATACCAGTCCCTTACCATAACTTCCCTTTCTTGGTCTATTAGTTTCAATGGGCAAAACAAGGGAAGACGTCCCCGCCTAGCAGTGGCAAAAACAGGGATTTAGATGAAAGGGGGAAGTGGGGAGAACGACGGCGGCTTTTGTAAACGAAGTAGTGGACTCCACCGGGTGAGTTTCTGCCTGTCCTGGTGGAAGCTTAGCGGGAGATGGGCTCCACCGGGTGAGCTTCTGCCTTCCCTGCTTGACGCTTAGCGGGAGGTGGGCTCTACTGGCTGAGCTTCTGCCTTCCCTGCTTGACGCTTAGAGGGAGGTGGGCTCCACCGGGTAAGCTTCTGCCTGGCCTGATGGAAAGCTTAATGGGAAGCGACGACTCTGCCAGTTTTGGCCTCTTGACAGCCTTTCCGCTCGCTTTCGGGAGAGCCCGGGGGGGGGGGATTTAGAGAGCCCGAAGAGTGCCCGCCGGGCGCCCCCCTGCAGCAACCCCTGCCCCGAGAAAGCGCCCCGGCTCACCGGAATGGTCGACGAGAGAACGCGGCCCTCCTTCTCCTGTGGCTGCCGCGGGCTCGAGGGCGCCCCGACGGCTTCTCGGGGAGGGTCGGGCGGCGGCGGAAGGAGGGGGCGAGCGCGCTCCTGCCTCTGCTGGCTGCCCAGGTGAGGCTAGCAGCGCCCGGCGAGCCTGGCGGCGCGGAGAGAGGCTGGCCCGAGGGCTCTGCTCCCACCCCTCCCTCCCGGTGTCGGACGGACGCCATCGAGCCCCCCTCCCCGGCCTCGGGCAGCTGAGACGGCCCCGCCGTGCGCCTCCGCCCCTCCCCGTCGGTGCCACCTGCCGCGACACCCGACACCCGGAACGCGCTGCTGGCTCAGCGGGACGGCCCCCTCTCCTCCTCCGAGTCGCCCTCGTCCTTCGCTGGGCCGGGGGATGCCCGCCGCTCCCCGCTTCCCGAAGCTGCCCTGTCCGCTCCCTGCACAGGCTTCGGACAGAGCTGGCCCGAAGGCAGCCCTGCGGAGAGCGACGCATCTCCCTCACGGAGTCCACCATTGCTTGGGTTGCTCAACGCAGCCTTGGGACTTCCAGAGGTCTGGGCCTTCCATCCTGGGCTGGGAATGATGGGAGGTGGATGCCAATACAAGATGGGAGAAAGGATTCCTATGTTGCCTTCACTACTAGTGCACTGATGTTGCCTTTGCCAAGTCTTTCTTATGAAACCCAAAACTCTCAGTAGTCATCTCCCTCCTTAATGTTTCTGGTCCTTTCCCAGAGAACCAGTATGGTGGTAGTAGTAGGCTGGCTTACAAACCAGGAGAGGTGATTGTAGTTCCATCTTTGGCATAAAAGTTGGCTAGGTGACTTTGAGCCAATCCCCAGGAGACTGTAAGTTCTTGTCTCCCCTTTTTGTACAACATTTGCATCCTGTGGAGAAATGGTAATCGCTCAAAGTCCACATCCTGCCAGCGCGAAGTCCAGTTTCCTCCTTTTTGCCTAATTGTGTCATAAAAGCTCTCATAGCTTCTTCCCTGCCATGAACACTGAACTAATTCTCCATTAAATTATTAAACCCAGATGGGTGGATTTTGGCCAGTTCCCCCCCTCTCTCTCCTCCCCCTCAGTTCAACCCATCTCACAAATTGGTTGTTGGGGGGAAAAGGAGGAAGGAGAATTACGTATGTTCGTTGCCTTGAGTTATTTATAAAGGAATAAGGTGGGATAAAAAAATCAAATGAAAATAAATAAACCTTGGTTCCTCCTCCCCATTGAAATCCAGGTTCAGCTCTTTTCTAAGTTCAGTCTAGAACATGCTAGATCAGTGGTTCTCAACCTTTCTAATGCTGCGACCCCATAATACAGTTCCCCATGTTGTGGTGACCCCCAACCACTTATACATCACCGGGTGCCAGGGGTGTGGCCAAAGAAAAGGGGGAAAAATGGCGGACAGCCTTGTTTGGCGACCCCTGTGAAATGGTCGTTCGACCCCAAATGGGGTCCCGACCCACAGGTTGAGAATCACTAGATTGTTTTGTTTTGTCTTTTTTAAAAAAGAAAACAGCGATAAACTTTCAGGGGATCTTGGAAGAAGTCAAAAACTCCATTCCCCCCCCCTCAAAACCCCCATCGAAAGCGATCAAGTACCTAGCGATGCCTTTTTCTTCCACAGCCCTTTCTTAAAATTCTTCTCCGAAGTGTCAGAGATCACACGCAAAGGTCCAGGGGTCACCAATCAGAAATGGTTTGGATTTACATCCTTAAAGCCTGCTTACAAAATTCTTCAGAGGTGAAAGGCTTTCCTGTGGAGGAACTTACAAATCAGTAAAGAAATGTACGGCGTTATCCTGGCGGTGTTTAATTGCATAATTTCTCATCTGAGTTAAGAAGATTTGCTAATAACTGCTTAGATTAGAAGAAACAATTTTGAATGAAAAAGTTTGGAATATTTCATCTCCAAGTCGAAAAGATTCTGCATGTCCTTGGGGAGTTTTTAGATCTTTATTGAATATTCAAAGACCAGAATTCATGGTCAGGAAAGCAAAAGCTTTTCTTTAAGACGTTTTTGGGGATCTCCTCCCCCTTTCTATATGTTTGCATCTGCAGAGGAATCTCTCAGAGCCCAGATCTTGCCAGCACAAAATCCAATTTCCTCCTTTTTGCCTAAGTGTGTCATAAAGGTTCTCATAGCTTCTTCCCTGCCATTAACACCAAACGAATTCTCCATTAAATCGTAAAGCTTTTCACGGGGCCCCTGGCTACATTTCTCATCAAAGTGGCTGCCTCACCCTAAGAACCATCTTTGGCCTTTGAATGACTTGCCAGGGGCGACCCTTCAAAAGCAGGAGACGAGAGACCATCACAAAAATGAAAGGTGACCTTGATTTAATTTCGTTTATAAGGGTAGTTAATCTTAATGAGATAATTATTAAATCAGGGATTTAATCGTTTCCTGATTTGGGCAGAGAGGTTGGAGGCAGCTCTGAAGCTCCAGATGGACCAGCCTCATCAGGTTCACTTTATTCTCCCTTAACTCTCCTCTGTCTTTTCAAAAAAAATATGTTAAACGGAGTTTCTATAAATCTGAACTGATGGCTTTCACACATTTGCAAGTTTCCTTGCTCCGTTAGCCTTGTTCTTCCTCCCTCCCTCCCTCCCTCCCTCCCTCCCTCCCTCCAACTTCCACCTTTTCTGGATTCTCCATTTGTTGCATAAAACACAACCCCACACTCAGCCACAGCTTTCTGGATGCCATTCACAGATGGCTGCATCTCAACCTGGTGGATGGGTGAGGGGAAGAGTTGCTGAAGTGTGGCTGGGCTGCGCTCAGCGTCTGACTTGCAACTGACTTGGTCATATGCTGGGGACAGAGGCAGTGTCTCAGAAGGTGGTGATGGTGTCAGGAGATAGGAAGAAATACTGCTAGTCCTTGATATACGACCATAATTGAGCCCTCAATTTCAGTCAGTGCCCAATTTTACAACCACTTTTGTGGTGGTTGTTAAGTGAATGTGGCAATCGTAAAATAAACACTGTGGTTGGTAAGTGGACACTGTCATCATTCAGTGGACCTATTGATTGCTATGGCATTTATTGATGTTTACTGGTGTTTATTTCCAGTTACTGGCAAAAACATAATAAATTGTGACGCTGTGAGTGCAAGGGGTCCCAGACATCCTACCTTTGAATACAGAACACAAGTACAGGTAGTCCTCAACTTACAACAGTTTGTCTAGTGACTGTTCAAAATTACAGCAGCACTGAAAAAAGTAACTTATGACCATATTTCACACTTGCGACCTTTGCAGCAGCCCCATGGTCTCGTGATTTACACTCAGGCACTTGACAACTGGGTCGTATTTATGATGGTTGCAGCATCCTGGAGTCCTGTGATCACCTTTTTGGGACCTTCTAACTAGCAAAGTCAATGGGGAAGCCAGCTTCACTTAACAACCTTATTACTACTAACTTAACAACCGCAGGGATTCACTTAACAGCTGTGGCAAGAAAGGTCATAAAAGTGGGTCAAAACTCACTTAACAAACCTCTCACTTAGCAACATCAATTTTTGGCTCAAGTGTGATTGTATGTCGACGACTAACTACCTTTTTCAGGGTCCGTCATAACTTCAAATGGCTGCTAAGCAACCAGTCATAGGTGGAGGACTACTTGTAAGTAGATTTACGCCCAGTGAAAATCTGCAGATGGAAGGGAGAGAAACCTGCTGGCCTGTGCACCGGCACTTCAGTGGCATGACACACATGGGACATTTGTGCTCGCAGGTGCGAAACCCCCGCATTTTCGGGAAACCTGAGTGTGACTTGCAGCATTGGCGCAGTGGACAAGCCAGTTCTTGCTGAGACAACGCCATGAGCACCATCCATAAGTGCAGGGAAGGGCTGCTTCTGGTTGTGAATTCACAGCCGCTACTGGGCCCAGTGAAGGAGCCAAACAGGCCGAAGGAGAGAGGCATCTTCTGCGTTGTGGGGTGCTGGAGTCTTTTATAACTTATAGCAGCCCTGGGGATGGGGGAGGGGTTCCCTGACCCAAATATCCTCCATACTGTAGCTATATGAAGAACAAGTCTGAAAACAAAGCAGGGAGGAAGAGCAGCTGGAACTTCTTTCCCAGGATCCTCAAACAGGTAGTAATAGTGGAGCTGGACCCCTGGAGATTTATTGCCAGGGGACCGGGAAGGGTTGCAACATTGTGCTTCAAGTCGGTTCCATGAGACTTTTTATTAATTTTCTGCTCCAGACCCCTCCCCCCTTGGCACTGAAAAAAATATATTTCGCAGGGACTCCGTGTTGTATTTATATAGCAAAGTTCTTTCCCCTTGTAAAAAGGCAGCACAAGGGCACTGAGCTTAAGTGGCTCAGCTTGTGGACAGGGCAATCCCCTTCTCACGAGAGAGGTTGCCTATCACACCAGACCCTTCCTCTTCAGGGCAGACATCACAAAACCCAGAGCAGATTGTGGGGTCTCGCTGGTTGCCTTTGCCCTTTCCCATCCGCTACTGTCAGGCCACAGGCAGTGTTTCTTCACACAACAGGTGTCACCTGTTGCCAGCTGTCTGAGGCCCGCGCTGGATTTCACTGACGTGGCAGATCAGGTTCTGATCAGGGTATTTAAAGTCGGACACGCTTGCTGCCCTGCGTCCCGCTTGGGCCCTGCCCCTTGGCACCACCTATGCCCCACCTTCCCCCGGAGCTGCACTTGCAGCCTGTGTGTGTGTGGTTGTTTTTGTGTGTCCCTCTGGCAATGTGAACCTGACAGGATGGGCACTAAAACCTCTGTTAGATTTGTAGCCTTGGTGAGGTATTGGGCTGTATGGATGAACAACACTGACCCCTCCTGGCCATGTGTGAAAAAGTCATCTCTACCCCCCCACCCCACATTTGTATGGGACACTGAAGTGTCCCTGTGTGTGTGTGTGTGTGTGTGTGTGTGTGTGTGTGTGTGTGAGAGAGAGAGAGAGAGAGAGAGAGAGAGAGAGAGAGAGAGAGAGAGAGAGAGAGTGAGTTTGTAAGTAGTGAGAGCAAGGGCTCTTTTGTCTCTGTAATGTTGCTTTCTGTGGCTCTCATCTCCTAATCTATTTTGGACTCAAATTCCCAAGTAAAAATATAGACAAGGGTAAAAGGTATACAAATCTGCTTTTCCTCTAGAGATTCACATACTCCAGCCCTTTTACTTTCTTTCAGGTAGTCCTCGACTTAGGACCAGGACCATTTGAA